ACACAGCTCCAAGTCTCCCATCCGTGATATACAGGCTGCTGTGCCTTCCTCCTGGCCAGCCCCACCTGGCTCACAAAGCAGCAAACACTACCTTGGGGATAGGCCAGCCAGAGGGAGGCCCCGCCTACAGGAGCTACAACAGGAAAGCATAGAGGATTATACCCAGGTGCTCAGCCCACTGGTTCAGGCAGTGGAGACAGGCATAGCAGTGGGGAAGCAGGAAATTGCTTTTTCCTCCTCCTAGGCACCAACAGCACTCCCTTGCCACCCCAGACATTGCTCCAAGGGCTGAGCAGCTCCAGAAAGTACAGCTTCTAGGCACTAGAGGGTACCACATACAAATACGAAACATGAAAGGAGCCTGGGTCAAACCAAAATTGTACAAACACCACAAAAAGAGTCAAATGAAACCAATCTTCCTGAAAAAGATTTCAAAGTAAAAATCATAAACATGCTCATGGAGGTACAGAAAAATATTCAAGATCTCAGGAATGAATTTAGGACAGAAATCCAATCATTGAAGAATACAAAGGAAGGCATTAAAAGCAGATTAGATATGGTGGACAAGATGATAAATGAAATAGAAATTAGGGAAGAGGAATACAAAGAAGCTGAGGCACAGAGAGAAAAAAGGATTTCTAAGAATGAAAGAATATTGAGAGAACTGTGTGACCAATCCAAACGGAACAATATTCGTATCATAGGGTTACCAGAAGAAGAGACAGAAAAAAGGATAGAAATTGTTTTTGAGGAGGTAATTCCTGAAAACTTCCCCAATCTGGGGAAGGAGATATGCTCTCAGGCCATGGAAATACACAAATCTCCCAACACAACGGACTCAAGGAAGACAAGACCAAAGACATATAATAATTAAAATAGCAAAGATTAAGGATAAGGACAGACTATTAAAAGCAGCTAGGGAGAGAAATAAGATCACATACAAAGGAAAGCCCATCAGGCTATCATCAGACTTCTCAGCAGAAACCTTATAGGCCAGAAGGGAGTGGCATGATGTTTTTAATGCAATGAGGCAGAAGGGCCTCAAGCCAACAATACTTTATCCAGAAAGGTTATCTTTTAAATTTGAAGGAGGGATTAAACAATTTCCAGATAAGCAAAAGCTGAGAGAATTTACCTCCCACAAACCATCTCTATAGTTTATTTTGAAGGGACTGCTATAGATGGAAGTGTTCCTAAGGTTTAATAGCTGCCACCAGAGATAATAAAACCACAATAAAGAAAGTAGAACAGTTAATTACTGAGCAAATGCAAAATTAAATCAAGTACTCCCAAAGTCAATCAAGTGATAGACAAAGAGTACAAAATATGATACCTAATATATAAAGGATAGAGGAAGAAGAAAAAGGAGGAGAAAAAAAATAACCTTTAGATTATGTTTGCAATACCATCCTAAGTGAGTTAAGTTAGACTCTTAGATAGTAAGGAAGTTAACTTTGAACCTTTGGTAACCATGAATCTAAAGCCTGCAATGGCAATAAGTACATACCTATCAATAATCACCCTAAATGTAAATGGTCTGAATGCACCAATCAAAAGACACAGAGTCAATGAATGGATAAAAAAAAACAAGACCCATCTATATGCCGCCTACAAGAGACTCACCTCAAACCCAAAGACATACACAGACTAAAAGTAAGGGATGGAAAAAGATATTTCATGCAGTTAACAGGGAGAAAAAAGCAGGAGTTGTAGTACTTCTGTATCAGACAAAATAGACTTCAAAACAAAGAAAGTCACAAGAGACAAAGAAGGACATTACATAATGATAAAGTGGTGAATTTAACAAGAAGATATAACCATTAAATATATTTATGCACCCAACAAAGGAGCACCTACGTAAGTGAAACAAATACTAACAGAATTAAAAGGGGAAATAGAATGCAATGCATTCATCCTAGGAGACTTCAACACCTCACTCACTCCAAAGGACAGATCATCTAGACAGAAAATAAGTAAGGAGACAGAGGACAGAGGCAGTGAACAACACATAAGAACAGAAGGAACTAACAGACATCTACAGAACTCTACACCCAAAAGCAGAATACACATTCTTCTCAAGTGCACATCATTTTCAAGAATAGATCATATACTATTCTATAAATTCAAACAGATTGGAATTCTACTAACCAGTTTCTCAGACCCCAAAGATATGAAACTAGAAATAAATTAAACAAAGAAAATGAAAAATCCCACAAACACACGGAGGCTTCACAACATGCTCCTAAATAACCAATGGATCAATGACCATATAAAAACAGGGATAAAGCAATATATGGTGACAAGTGAGAATAATTCCACACCGCAAAATCTGTGGGATGCAGCGAAGGCCATGCTAAGAGGAAAGTATATTGCAATACAGGCCTACATGAGGAAAGAAGAACAATCCCATATGAACAGTATAAACTCACAATTAACGAAACTAGAAAAAGAAGAACAAATAAGGCTGAAAGTCAGTAGAAGGAGGAACATTATAAAGATTAGAGCAGAAATAAATAAAATCAAAGAGAATAAAATGATAGAAAGAATCAAGGAAAGCAAGAGCTGCCTTTTTGAGAAAATAAACAAACTAGACAAACCCCTAGCCAGAGTTATCAAGAAAAAAAGAGAGTCTGCACACATAAAAAGAATGAGAAATGAGAAAAGGAAAAATCACTATGGACATCACAGAAATACAAAGAATTATTAGAGAATATTATTAAAAATTACACGCTAACAAACTGGATAATATAGAAGAAAAAGATGGACAACTTTCTGTTTCTAGAAAATTACAACCTTCTAAGGCGGACCCAGAAAGAAACAGAAAATCTGAACAGACCAATTACCAGCAACGAAATTGAATTGGTAATAAAAAAACTACCTAAGAACAAAACTTCTGGGTCAGATGGCTTCACTGCTGAATTTTATCAAACATTTAGTGAAGACATAATACCCATCCTCCTTAAAGTTTTACAAAAAGTAGAAGAAGAGGGAATACTACCAAACTCATTCTATAAGGCCAGCATCACTCTAATACAAAAACCAGGCAAAGACACCACAAAAAAAGAAAATTACAGACCAATAACCCTGGTGAACACAATGCAAAACTACTCAACAAAATATTAGTAAACTGAATTTAAAAATACATCATCCTCCATTTACAATTGAATGAAAAATAATAAAATACCTAGGAATAAACCTAACCAAGGAGGTGAAAGACCTATACCCTGAAAACTACAAGACCCTCATGACAGAAATTAAAGACAACAATAAATGGAAATGCATCCCATGCTCATGGATAGGAAGAATTAATATTGTCAAAATGGCCATCCTGCCGAAAGGAATTTACAGATTCAACACAATCTCTATCAAAATACCAACAGCATTCTTCAGTGAACTAGAACAAATAATTCTAAAATTCATATGGAACCACAAAAGACCCCGAATAGCCAAAGCAACTCTGAGAAGGAAGAATAAAGCTGGGAGGATTACACTCCCTGACTTCAAGATCTACTACAAAGCCACAGTAATCAAGACAATTTTGTACTGGCACAAGAAAAGACACATAGATCAATGGAACAAAACAGACAGCCCAGATATAAACCCAAGCACATATGGTCAATTAATATGATAAAGCAGTCATGAATATACAATGGGGAAAAGACAGCCTCTTCAACAACTAGTGTTGGCAAAACTACACAGCTACATGTAAGAGATGAAACTGGATTACTTTCTAACTCCATATACAAAAGTAAACTCAAAATGGATCAAAGACCTGAATCTAAGTCATGAAACCATAAAACTTTTAGAAGAATAGCAAGTCTCTTGAATATAACATGAGCAACTTTTTCCTGAACACTTCTCCTCAGGCAAGGAAAACAAAAGCAAAAATGAACAAATGGGACTACATCAAACTAAAAAGCTTCTGTACAGCAAAAGACACCATCAGCAGAACAAGAGGCATCCTACAGTATGGGAGAATATATTTGTAAACCATTTATCTGATAAGGGGTTAACATCCAAAATATACAGAACTCATATGCCTCAACACCCAAAAAACAAATAACCCAATTAAAAAATGGGCAGAGGATATTAACAGACACTTCTCCAAAGAAGAAATACACATGGCCAACAGTCACATGAAGAGATGCTCCACATTGCTAATCATCAGGCAAACACTAATGAAAACCACAATGATATTTCACCTCTTACCAGTTAGAATGGTCACTATCCAAAAGACAAGAGACAACAAATACTGGTGAGGATGCGGAGAAATAGGAACCCTCCTACACTGTTGGTGGGAATGCAAATTGGTGCAGCTGCTATGGAAATAAGTGCAGAGGTTCCTCAGAAAACTAAAAATAGAAATACCATTTGACCCAGTAATTCCACTTTTAGGAATTTACCCAAAGAAAACAAAATCCCTGATTCAAAAAGATATATGCACCCCTATATTTATTGCCATACTATTTGCAATAGCCAAGATATGGAAACAACCAAAGTGTCCATCCATAGATGAATGCATAAAGAAGATGTGGTACATATACACAATGGAGTATCATTCAGCCATAAAAGAACAGAAATCCTGCCATTTGCAACAACATGCATGGATCTAGAGAACATTATGCCCAATGAAATAAGCCAGGCAGACAATGATAAATACTGTATGATTTCACTTATTTGTGGAATATAAAAACAAAGCAAAAGAGAATGAAACAAAACAGTATTAGACTCATAGAAACTGAGAAGTGACTAATGGTTACGAAGGGGGAAGGGTGGGGGTGGGTGCAAGGGGAAGGCAAGGTGGATAAAAGGCACAATTTGCAGTCACAATATAAGTTGATCAAGGGGAATGTTGAACCACTGTGGTGTACATTTGAAACCAAAATAAGATTGTATATTGATAGATTAATAAAAACAAATTAATCATTTATAATTTGCCACTCTTTAAAACAGCATTTCCAATTTTTAATAAGCTTGTATTTAATCAAAATGCCACACACCTGTAAGACTGCATCTTCACCAAGAAAAGTTATCATGTTGTTTTTGCTCATTTGCTCTTGTGGATCCTCTCTGAGTTTAAACCCAAGCTGAATCTTAGGGGATGTGCCTGGAAATAGAAATTATTTGCCACACTTTTACTGCTGTTTTGACAATGACCCAAGGATTTTTACAGATACTGCATAATATCATTAAAATTCATTTTATAAGTTAGAATTTCCAGCTGCCACTTTTATATGTCAAGGTTTTTAAATTATTAATTAGGAAGAAATGTATATTATACTCAATAAAATAATACTTGATTTTTCTTTGTTTCAGGATGACTGAATGCAAAGGATATGTATAGAAAATTATATAGACTTAAACCCCAGTAGAAAGTATTTTCTTTTTTTTAAATTTCATTTTAGGTCATTTTTACAAACTCATAATGCTAATATTTAATTGATAAAAAAAAGTCAGGATACTGATCAAGATGGTGGTGTGAGTAGAGCAGCGAAAATCTCCTCCCAAAATCATATATATATTTGAAAATACAACAAATACAACTATTCCTAAAAGAGAGACCAGAAGACACAGGACAACAGCCAGACTACATCTACACCTGTGAGAACCCAGCGCCTTGCGAGGAGGTAAGATACAAGCTGTGGCCTGGCAGGACCTGAGCACCCCTCACCCCAGCGCCCACTGGGAGGAGAGGAGTCGGAGCGGAGAGGGAGAGGGAGCCCTAGCCATCTGCACTGGGAGCACAGACACACAGTTCATAGTGTGCTGGATACTAGGGAAACAAGACATTAAGACCTGTGAGCAGGTTCCCGCAGCCGGCGCCCATGGGACAGAGAAAAGCAAGTGCTTCTTGAAAGTCTTAAAGGGACAGGGACCCCACAGCTGGATGGAAGCGTCCAGGGACACTGAGCCCAGCAGCTGGAATCCCAGGGAACTCTAGGCGCCCTAACCCCCTGGGCAGCAGTGCAGCTCAGAGACCCCTCACAGCAATAAACAGCCTCCCGCCCATTTCCCCTCTGATGTGGCTCCACCATATTGGAACAGCAGCCTCAGGCTGGCCATGCCCATAGCAACCGTGGAGCTCCACAGTGGCCGGGCAAGAATCAGAGACCCTGTCTGCATGCAGCTGCCCAGCACAAGCTTCTAGGGGTCACTGTTCTCCCAGGAGAGGAAGGCCACAAACCAGCAAGAAGGGACGTTCTCCCAGGCGACACACACGCCAGCTCCCCACAACTACCTCTATCGCCATGAAAAGGCAGAAGAATTTGACACAAACCAGACTAACCGAGACATCCTCCCCTTAGAGGGAACCTGGGGAGATAGACATAACCAATCTCCCTGAAAAAGAACTCAAAATAAAGGTCATAACCATGCTGATGGAGCTGCAGAGAAATATGCAAGAGCTAAGGGATGAAGTCCAGAAGGAGATTACAGAAATGAAACAATCTCTGGAAGGATTTATAAGCAAAATGTATAAGATGCAAGAAGCCATTGATGGAATTGAAACCAGAGAACAGGAATGCATAGAAGCTGACCCAGAGAGAGATAAAATGATCTCCAGGAATGAAACAATATTAAGAGAACTGTGTGACCAATCCAAAAGGAACAATATCCACATTATAGGGGTACCAGAAGAAGAAGAGAGAGAAAAAGAGATAGAAAGCATCTTTGAAGAAATAACTGCTGAGACCTTCCCCAAATTGGGGGAGGACATAGTTGCTCAGACTACAGAAGCACACAGAAATTCCAACAGAAGGGACCCAAAAAGGACAACTCCAAGGCACATAATAATTAAAATGGCAAATATCAAGGACAAGGACAGAGTATTAAAGGTAGGCAGAGAGAGAGAAAAGGTCACCTACAAAGGAAAACCCATCAGGCTATCATCAGACTTCTCAACACAAACCTTACAGGCCAGAAGAGAATGGCATGATGTATTTAATGCAATGAAACAGAAGGGCCTTGAATCAAGGTTACTGTATCCAGCACGATCATCATTTAAATATGAAGGAGGGATTAAACAATTCCCAGACAAGCAAAAGTTGAGGGAATTTGCCTCCCACAAACCACCTCTACAGGGTATGTTAGAGGGACTGCTCTAGATGGGAGCACTCCTAAGGCTAAATAGATGTCACCAGAGAAAATAAAATGACAGCAAAGAAAG